ACGTTATCATATATTATAATAATTAAAACATTATATATAAATTAAAAAAAATTATATATAAATATTTATTTATGAAACATTTATATAAATATAAAATATGTATCAATTTTATAAAAAAATAACTTTAATATAATTATTTCTTTAGTTATTTTGTATTTTGAATTTCTTTTTACAAATGAAAAAGATTTCATTAAAGAAAATTTTAATGATTTGAATAATAGATCGAATCTACCAAATAATTATGAAAAAAGAAAAAATGAGCTATGCTATATAATAAAACTATAATAATAAAACTAATTTATTATAATTAAGAAAGTTCACTGTTAATAGTTTGATTGTAAGATAAGATCAAAAGCAAAGTTCATATGCTAATGAAAATTTACATTATCACAAAGTTTGTGGTTACAAGTTCAAAAGAGTTCTAAATTCGAAAAGTTTTTGAAAGTTAGAGGATTCTAAAGATTCAAATGGTTCAAAGATTCTGAAAGTTTAATTAAAATTTGTTATGAAAATTCGAAAGATTCAATGTTTTTAAAAGTTCTGACGATTAGAATTTTCTGAAAGTTCAAAGCTTCTGCAAGTTCTGCCGTTCAAAAAATTCTCCTAAAATGCTGGTACCCTCTAAAATCCCCTCTATATTGATCTCGTAAAATCGCAGATCTTCAGTGAAGTAAATGACCAATAATATCATGGACTAGCTTCCTGATTGAGCGACATCTCTAATCTAAGGAAAATTCTTAGAATGAGAGGGGTTACAAAATCCGCTATTTTTGCCAGGAAATTGTTTCATAAATGTTTGCAATAATTCTTCTCAAGTAGAATAGATGCTGATTGCTGTTGAGACTGGCATAACTGGAAAATGTCGTTTCAGGTTTTAAAACCACATTGACACTCCTCATGCTGAATTGTTTTTAAATATATAAAGCGAAGAGTCAGCCAAATTCTTCTCTCAAAAACGATAATGTCCTCGTAGCATAATCCTGTGACATCTGTTTAATGTCTTAACAAATATTTTTTTACTATTTTGTTTTTTCTTTATTACTTGTTCTTAAAAATAATTTTTAATGAATTTGATATTATTACAATTTCAAAATTTTTTTTCGGAAGTAATATTAGATTTATTATAAAATAATATTATTAGTAAATATGGAAAAAAGATTAGATCATATGAACATAGATTAGTATACAAAATTAATGAAAATTAATGAAATGAAGTCGAATTAAATTTTTGCCGAAAAATTGATATTTAAATTATTATAGTTTGTAAAAAAAAAATATGTAACAAGTATATATCTAAGTATATATCTAAATAAATTATGTAACTTAAATTATGTAAATTATGTAATCTTGGATTCATTTTAAAGGATAAAATCTCTACTTTCATTCTTCAATTTCATTTTTTTAATAATTCATTCTCAATTATAAAACGGATTATGAATTTAAAATTGTTTTTTTCTTTTCAAATTTTACAAATTCAAACTCTATAGAAAAACTTTTTATTTTAAAACATTCAGTGCAATTTTCAAATTTGTTTTTAAATGACTTTGTAAAAGATTCTTCAATTTATTTCAATTCTTCCTTTACTTTTAAAATAAAAGTAAAACCTTTTTACTTTTAAAATTTTTATGTTTTTTTGCTGCTTTATAACACTTTAAATAAAAAGTGAGCCGTTCTCAAAATAACCCGAGGTACACTACATAGAAGTTACATAATCGAACTTTTTATTTTAATTTTAGCATTTGTTCTTGTAATATGGGTATACATTTCTATATCATCCTATAGAAACTTTACTTCTTTTCGACATAGAATTTTGTAATTAATAAAATTTTTTTTAAAATAATTATATAAAAAAATAATATTTCAAATATATATATATTTTTATATATCAACTTATATAAATATTATTTTAAAATGAATATTTCATTAAAAAAGAAAAGAATATTAGTATAAATAATAATACTTCAAATAAGTACAATATTAAAATATTATATTATTGTGTATATATATATAATAAATTCTTAACATCTTAAAATAAAAAAGGAAACATTGAATATAGTTATCTTTAAAACTTATAATTTTTCAAATAAATATTTTACTAATATTTAAATATAAATAATATTTATTTATAGAATTATTTCGGTTTCCTTATATTTATTATTTAACTTATATATTTTTCAATTAATTTTAATTTTAAATATCAATAATACGTTAAATAATAAAATTTTATTCAGTGAGATCTTATTTTCAAAAATAAAGTCTATTTCTCCAGGATTTATTTTATTTATTTATTCTATAACGAATTTCCTTAGTCGAATCAATTGAATTACTTACCCAAATGCAGATAGGTTCATCAAGCATGCATTCGAGCAATTCCTTCAAATGCATCACTAAATTCCTTGGATCGGATTCGATGTCATTGGCCGATTCACTCTCAGTCTCCACATAAGTGTGGTTGCTTTTCCATGCTGGATCCTTAATGATCTGAACAGCATAATATACCGAACAGGATAAGACGGCGAAGCTGATTGCCGTGTATACTCGGAGGTTTGGGATTGGAAGTCGGTCCAAGAATTCCATCGGCATCTTCACGCTTTTTATGATTTTATATTTCCTGTAAATGCATATATATGTATATCATATATATATATATATATATATATATATATATATATGAATATTTCTCTTTTAAAATATTTATTATATATTTTATTTACATTTGGATAAATATTTATAAAAAAAATATCATCCTCTGATACTTCGACGATTTTTTGATATGTTATCAAGATCATTTGAATAATGTTATAAAAATTTTATTTAGCAATCATTACTAAAAATTTATTAATGCAATCTAATATAATCTATATTCAAACTCAATATAAACTAAAATTAAATAAAAATTTTGGCATCAATGTTAAATATAAGATTAATTTCATCTCAAATCAAAATTAAATAAAAACTCATTTAATTGTTCGTTTATTTATAATGAACAACGATTACTAAAATTTTGATAATATTATATTTAGATGATCTTGATAATATATTTAAAAAAATCAACAAAATAAGAGAATAATATCTTTTATAAATAATTAACTAAATTGTTCCATTTTATTTAATTATTGTTTTATAATAAAGTAAATGCATCTATCATTGAATTGGTGAAAAAATAGTATCAATTTCGTAACAAAAATAAATCAATTTATTATAATGCATTCTATTCATCCAGTTTCGTAAATCATTTAAATTTTATACAAGTAGTATAAAAATGTTATTCCTTTGTAATCCTATATCACGTATGATACGATATCACTTTTTTTTCAAAAGTATGAAGTAAATTTTTCCGAATATAAAAAAATAGAATAGATATTATTTAAATTATTGGAACAATGCAAAAAAAGCATCCGATATTTTTTGATTGCCTGATTATGCCAGTGATTAAAAATAATTATTGGATGGAAAATTATATTATTATTTTATATCTATAACATAAACTAAAAAAATTAAAATAATTTTCAAATCGCAAAATACCAAATAGAAAAAAAAAAAGATTTGTTATATATTCACAAACACATTGAGAAAAAATTTGGATTGACACGTGAGAGAATATTTTAGAAAATATCATACAATGATTAATTATAACTTATGTACATAATTAATTGTAAATTAACAATTAATTTAATTTACATTAATTTTAGAATTATATATATTATATATAAAAATGTTCATGCATTTAAATATGTTATTAATAAACATAAAAAATAAATAATGATTAACTCTTGAAAAATTAAAATAATAAAAAATAATATGATATCCATTTAATAATAAATAATGAAATTACTGGAATAAAAAATTTAAAATAAAGAATTAGTATTATATATATATATATATA